TTTCTGGTCTGGTACGAGAAGCAGGAGCAGGGATGGCCCATTTCTGTGAAGGGGACAGGAAAATTATTGATTCATATAGTTAATCTGTGCGCTACTTTAGCTTAGTGGTAGAGCGTCTGCTTCGTAAGCAGAAGGTCGTCAGTTCAATCCTGATAAGTGGCTTACAGCAGCATTAGGCTCTAGTCGGGTATGAGGAGCAGGAGCAGGTTTGCTCACTCCGCAAAGGATACAGGAAGATTATTGATTTATGCAGTTATTTTGTGCGCTACTTTAGCTTAGTGGCAGAGCGTCTGCTTTGTAAGCTGAAGGTCGTCAGTTCGAACCTGGCAAGTGGCTTACAGCAGCATTAGGCCCTAGTCGGGTATGAGGAGCAGGAGCAGGTTTGCTCACTCCGCAAAGGATACAGGAAGATTATTGATTTATGCAGTTATTTGGTGTGTCACTTTAGCTTAGTGGCAGGGCGTCTGCTTTGTAAGCTTAAGGTCGTCAGTTCATCCTGACAAGTGGCTTATAGCACTATAAATTTCTGGTCTGGTACGAGAAGCAGGAGCAGGATGGCCCATTCTGTGAAGGGGACAGGAAAATTATTGACTCATATAGTTAGTGTGTGTGCCACTTTAGCTTAGTGGTAGAGCGTCTGCTTCGTAAGCAGAAGGTCGTCAGTTCAATCCTGGCAAGTGGCTTACAGCAGCATTAGGCTCTAGTCGGGTATGAGGAGCAGGAGCAGGTTTGCTCACTCCGCAAAGGATACAGGAAGATTATTGATTTATGCAGTTATTTGGTGTGTCACTTTAGCTTAGTGGCAGAACGTCTGCTTTGAAAGCAGAAGGTCGTCAGTTGGATCCTGGTAAGTGGCTTATGTGATAGCAAACGCAGTGTAGCGTGAGTAAAACCTGACCGGACGGAGGGAATGTCCCCCCTTCTACACGCAATTATTACGCGTGCGTCCCGCACGCAGAAGACAAATGTCTGTTTCCTTTGATACGTGCGCGTGCGTGCAAATCAATCCGTCATGAGGAACTGATCTCATGTGCAAGGCACAACACCGTGGCGTAGCAATATGCTGCGGTGTAGGTTAACTAAGGAACTTTCTAGTTCCTCTCTAGTGGCATGTTGGTTTGGTTGAGCAATTGACCGAGCGACTGAGTCACTCGTCGCCTCTACGCGACTACCTGCAGTGCAGGAAGGTGTACAGTTGTCCAGGCGAGTCAAAGGTTGTATGCGGCTCTAGCCTAAGTAACCGGCTGCTTCTTTCTATGGAGGCCAGCACCCATGGTTGATTTTCGGACAGTTGTACTTTACGTACTTTTGAGGTAGTGGCTGCTTACGGCCGCAGCCTCATGTACATGGGCACCGCCCGAACATACAATTCATTAGTACAAGTCGAGACTGTTCAGTTTCTCTGACTGCAAGAGTGACTCGCGTTGTGATTGATTTACCAAATCACAGATCGGTTACCAGATGGCTGTTGCCGGCTAGTGGGACCAGTCCCCCTCCTTCTGTTACGATCAGCGTCTCCGGTCCCCCTTTGGACAGTTGTTCCTACATGTGCTCTCGAGGTAGTGGCTGCTCAAGGCCGCAGCCTCGTCTGCAGGAGGTGAGGTCATGAGCGCCGTCAAGGTACAGCCTGTACCGTACAAGAGGCCGCTGTTCACCAAAGCCATCCTAAGTGACCCATTTCTCCTTAACAGCTTATTGCCAACGAGCGAGAACGTTTAGTCCCACGTGCGGGAGAGTGTCACCTGTTGCGTTATATCCTACAACATACAAGTCACATGTACTCGGGTGGACTCACGGAGCCGCACTGACTTGGTGAGTAATACCTGCCGAATTGGCTACCGGCCCGTGGTCCAACCCGACCGCAGGCTGCGGCCAGGATTCGCGGTGGAATCGTATATCACGATGCTCAGTACAATGTGGGTCAGCTGTACAATTCAAGTCCTTTCTGTCGGGAGATGAACCCCTAATAGATAAGAGTCTAGTTTCGCAGCATACCTATCCCTGTCGCACAGGACCGTTCATTTATTTGTGGATTTGAAATGTCACTTGAAGACGGTAGCACCCCATCGGCGACTCAGAAAGTCTTAGAAGGTTTGGAAACACCGATCTTCGCGACAGACTTTATATGCTCAGCCATACAGAAGAATGGTATGGACCGTTTGGAGTTTTTGGCTTCCATGAGCGAGAACGGTTGGGAGAGACTGCTTTCGGCCCATCACCAGGAGACCCAGGTGGTCGCCGCTAGCAACCCCTCGTCGCCAGCGAACCCCGGTACTGCAGCATCTTCCACGGATCCCGGGACCGATGCCACTCAAAGTTCTACAGCAACTGCCTCACAGCGGACACTCACTAACAACAACGGCACGAGCGTGACCCAGGTTCAGTTCGTGATGATCATCGCCTGTGCTAAGGCCGCTTCAGCTGAAGCCAGAAGGCTTTTGGAACGTGGCCAGAGAGAACTAGATGCCGCGACTTCGTCATCGTCGGGCCCTCAAGTCAACATCGACAAGCTTATCAAGAACCTAACGGAGAAACTCGGTGTGGTTCCACCTAATATAGTACCGGACGAGAAGGTCATGAAGCTACTCTCGAAGTCTAGCAGTGCGTATGTAGACTTCAAGCTTCTCAACGTCTCTAACTCTAACTCAAATGCAAGGAAAAGATTGAGAACCACTACAACGGGGCTGGTTGTCGAGGTATACGAAAAACCTGAGGATTCCCGCTCTGGCGATAATGGTCTCGTTCTCGACATTATGGGGGCTTGGACAGCGCAGTTTGGTAGATATGTCGCGGGCGTATGTCTGGTCGACGAACATGCAGCGAACAACATCCTGACATTTCTATCGTATCAGTGCGAGATCGGCCGTATCGCC